ACTTTTTTAAATTTTTCCACGATTTGATAGTATGGGTTGTAGAAAGTTCTACGGCACGTGGAAGGGATTCGTAGGAACTGACTCAGGAAACTCCAATGTGGTAGTCTCTGATAAAATGGTCATAACTTTATACTCCGAACTCAAAATAAGCCAAACTTGATGGAATTTGAAAGAGAACTCATAGTTCTTCATTTTGATAGGTCATAGACAACCCAACTCATTGTGTTTTGAAAGATATGACTGTTTGATGTTGACCTAAGTAGAATCTTATATCAAAACTTAATCAGTAAAGAAGCTTTCAACTTAACTTTCTGCGAGGGGATTCTTGTGACTTTGATTCATGTTCAAATTTATTCTCATACAAAATAATTTACCTTAACACGTAAGAGCAATTTAATAATCACCCGATATGACCTTATACGCAAATAAAGAATGGTTCAGGTTTTACCTTTAAAAGTTTTGGGGTATTACAAAATACCAGTATAGCTGGTAACTAGTAGCTAACATGGGTCGGCAGGGCTCGAGATCACAAAAGCACAATAAGATACAAGTAAAATGGAATGTAAGGTAGTAGAAGGACGCACTAATAGTAATATAATCATAAATCATATCAACAGAATTTAAAGAGGATACCAAAGTAATTTAAGCAATCCAATAACCTAACTGGACCTGAAAGCCTAGAAGGTACATATACAGAAAAGTAGAAGAAATTACTTGACTTGGACCTCATAATCCCAATGGGTACACACAAGTACTACCACTAAAAAAATAAAAATCAACCATGAACCACCAGCAAGAAACTCAAGCTAGGGAACTCCCAGAATTTGACATCAGGATAGTCTCAAAGTACGTATAGTTCATCCTAGAATCTTAGACAAGCCAAAGAAATTACGTGGCACCGACCTCATAAGCCCAATGGGTACACACAAGTTCTAACACTATTAAAAAATGATACCAAAATCAACCATGAACCACAAACATGAAACTCAAGCAAGGAAATTCCCATAATTTGACATCAGGATAGTCGCAAAGTAGGTATGGCTCATCATGAAATCTAACATCAGAACGGATACATCGAGTTCTATCATGTCCTGGAATTTTATGTCAAGATAGCCATAACAAGACATAGGCTCTCCAGAAATCTTAGATCGGGATACCTACAAAAAGAGTTGGCATCATCCAAAATCTTACATTGGATTTGCGATAAAGTATCCTACCTTCTTACGGAATCTTACATTGGGATGGATACAACTAAACCTATTCAATTCTAGAATTTTACATCTAATTAGCTAAAATGAAACCTAGCCACTTCCAGAATCTAACAATTGATAGCTACAAAAAGAGCTAGCATCATCCAAAACATTACATCGATTAGCCACAGAGAAACCTAACTTCTCCCTAAAATTACATCGGCATAGCTATAACAAAACCTACCAACTCCTAAAATCTTATATCATAATAACTACAATGAAACCTAGACAATTCTGAATGCTTATATTAGGGTGGCTATATCAAAAGGGGTTGATCCTTCTCGAAATCTTACATCGCGAGGTCCCTCCACACTAGGAGAACCAAAACCAAAAATAAGGCTCAGTACCTACGCATACCACAATATCCTATATATTATACTAAATAGGTTCAAGTCCAACTAAAGGGTCACATATAACCCTAGCCTTATTTAGGCCAACCCTAGGTCACACGCGCCATTAAGGCTAAAGTCTATTGCACACACTAGCGAACCAAAGGCTTATGGCTTCAACAACCATAACAAGACAATCCCAACCCATATACCGATCATGGAAGTAATAATATCAATAAAGACAAGAGTATACAATATTATATTCCCGAATATACCCAAAATAAGTCTAAACAAAAGAAACAAGGGTAACAACAATAGTCCTACTATCTAACCCAAACAAAAAACTAGCAAATCATCATGCTAAAGAAACCAACGAGCAAAGTCTAAGATTACTAAGTCTTATCCTACCTAGATTATGATGAGGCACACTCTAAATACTCTAAAATAGGACTTTTCCTTTTTGAGCAGCCTCTTAATGATGCCACACTCTCAAATAAGCTATCAAGGCTTTAATAAAATTAAATGATACCCATAATGCAATAGAAAAATATCAAGCTCAAAATTGAGTTAATAATGGGATTATGAACCCATCCAAAGAATCAATGAATAGACTTTGTCAATAGGTCCGCACATGCTCAAGGAACTTGTTCCTCGAATAGGGGCACAATTTGAGCTCAACCAAGGCCTAAAACAGTCCACAATCAACTAGCTCTAGAACACCCATATTCAAGCGAAGAACAAATAAATTAAAGAGACTTACGGGTTTCAAAGAGAGATTGACAACCTCAACAACTCTCCTAAGCTAAAACCAACTCAAACAAGAATCCCACTGAAATTTCCTAAGACCAAGCTCACAGCCACTTCTTCTTCTTTTAGAAAATGAATGGACCAAGGGTCACTGAAGTGATATCGCTATCGCCAGTGCAACAAAGGTTTTGGAGGATGGTGGTCAACAGGATCCACCAGCTCCATAGAAGCAACCAAGGTCCCACTGGAGCGATACTATAGGAGCGATCAATCTTCGTAAGAGTGAGGGTCAGCTAAGTGATCCAGAATCGTCAAAGTGATACCCATCAAACAGAATGACTCCACCGAGCCTATCTTAATGGAAGCATATGCATTAGTACTGGCTGGTGCATTAGTAGATTTGCAATAAAATTCCAAGTCTAGGATGGACTCTTGGGATTTGTTCGGAGTCTCACAAATGCAATCAGGGTATTCTACCCAACCATAAGTGTTATTTAGAACTCAATAGAATTGTCAAAAAAAAAACTTCCAATAAAGGTTTTCTCTATGAAAAGGGGGGTCACACCTCAAGCTCCATTTTAACAAAAGCCACAAGATAGCTCGAAATAAGCACAAAAATCTTTGAACCCCAACCAAAGGTCAATTGAGACTAAAAAATATATTTTAGACCTAATAAAACCATCAAAATTGCATTGTAAGGTCATTTACGTGATGTTTTGACCAAAGCCAAACACCCCAACTTCAAAAGCACCAAAACACATAAATTTGCATAAACATCAAACAAACTGCCTGATGAAAGTCATGTTAGTCCCAAGAAGTCATAATAACTTGGGGAGCTATACGAAAACTCTAAACATAAAAAATATGAATAAAAAATACCTAGAAGGTTACTACAACTATTGATGCTTGCAGGTCGCAAAAATTATTTGTGTGTGAATTATATTTGTTATTGACATAATACTGCTTTTGGTTCTAGCCCATGACAAGAGAAGTGGGACATATTCGATTTTCTATCTAGCTTGTGGTTTCCTCAATATAGGCTAATATATGATTAACGTGAAATTTATCCACACTTTGTAACCTCTAATATTAATATAATTTTTTTTATCAATTAGTCAAATGTCTTGTTCATTTCCTTTTTATTCCTTTTTGAATCTCTTATTCTTTATTATGATAATATCAGAGACTCAAACTTGAAATAAACTTATATATTCATATTCTTTTAATTTGTATTATTATCATGGTGGGATAGGACAAAAGGTTATAATTTGTATTCTTTTATATTGAATTATGGGTACACACAAAAGAAAAATATAGTATAAGTACATAGTTGCTTAATTAAATCATCTTTTATTGAACTAATTCTTTCTATATGAATGTTGTCGTTATTTTCCTCCTTTTTCTCTCTTGTTTTGTCATAAGTTGAAAAAAATAACTAAAATTTCAAATTGTACAAGATCCAAAATTGAAAAAAGTGGAAGGGAGAAAAAGTGAAGGGGTGAGTGGGAGGTGTAAAAGTATAGGATTATCCTTTTTATTTTTTCTTTACTATCGAATTCAAAATCATGTCAATCATATAAATCTTAAGTAGTTTCAAACTATTTTAATGGAAAAGGGCTCAAAATGCCTTTAAACTATGGGATTTGGTACAATATTGTGTCCTCCATCCACCTTATGATTACAGACCATTAGACATAAGATTATTTTGAGCTAAAAGATTGACGTTAGGGGTATTTGGGGCCCGAAAGATGGATGGATGATAATTTTGTACCGATTCAAATAGTTGAGGGGCATATTAGACCCTTTTCGGTATCATAAATAAACTATAGCATGACATCTAGTTCATGAGATATTAATTTGGCTTTTGTTTTCAAGTGAAACTTAATTCGACTTGAAGCAATTTTCAACACAAATTCTATTATACGTTCGTTGTTGTTAATGACTCATTATTAATAATGAGTATACTATTCTTGTTCCAGTTAGGATTGTTATTACAGATGTGTTTCACATGACTAACACTAATAGTGTGTGGATCTTTTTATATCCTAGAAAGGGGATTGGACCAGTGGCGGAGCCAAAATTTTCATCAAGGGTGTTCATACTTTAGGAAAAGTAAAAAAATAAACCTTGTTGGTGATATTATAAAGATTGAAACATCACTATTATTCTCTTAAAAAACGAAACTAAAAAAAATAATTAAACAAACACCTTAATCTGGGCTCCAACCCAAGCCCTTGAGGTGACCTTTTTTCTCTTAAAAAACGAAACTAAAAAAAATTTAAACAAAATGTCTTAGTTTGGGCTCAAACCCAGGCCCATGAGACAACTTTGAACAGCTTTAAGCCCTTAACCATTGAGCTATCTTTCTTTAACATGTTAAGGTTATTCAACCATTTATATATATCCAAAACTATTGATATATATGTCTCGCAATAATTTTTTGACATGCTAAAGTTTAGCTCCGCCCATGGATTGGACCCAAATTAAGTTTGTGCATGAACACTAGGTAATTAAGGCATATAATAAAGTTTTCCACATTAGCTAAACGTTGTTTGTCAACTGGCCTCAAACATACTATTAGCTAAAAATAGAACATATTCAAATAACACCAACAATTCTTATGAGAAAAACTGAAATATTGTCCTTCAAGAAATAGAAATCCTTTACAATTTAGTTAGTAGATGTGTCTCAAATAACTTCGTCGAATCCACAACTCATACATAACCATATGAAAAATATCAAAATCTTTGGAAAAAGAGTTCCATTGAAAATGCTTTTTCACCTGCATTACATTGTTTTGAAGCTTGACGTAGTGATGGTACTCTATTGCTTGAAGAATTTGCTTTAGTTTTGGAATATCAAGGGTTGAAACAATGACGGCGAAACTTTCCCAATTAAGAATGTCAGCGTATGGGAGATCATAATGGTCAGACAATATGACTGGAACACAACCGTAGTAAATAGCGTCACCAATTCGTGCAGTGTTAATCTCAAAACCTTTAGCGTGAATGCAGTATTTACTGTCCAATAACGCCTCTGAGTATGGTGTTTTCATGCGGCCGCGGTGGACTATGATCTCTGAATCATTACTCCATGTTTCAACCAGGTTTTCACGTACTCTCGAGTTCATTGCTCCCGCGAAAAAAGCTAACTTTTTCCTGAATTGCTTCATGTTTTCATGCAAATTAAAAATATTGAATCACAAATACTCTAAGAATTTAGAAGACGATAGGAAATTGCTCGGATGGTAATCACCCCTCACTTTCAACCCGAAGGTTGCGAGTTCGAGTCACCAAGATAGCAAAAGGGGTGGGAGCTCCTAGGGAGGGTAAAAAAAAAAAAAGAATTCAGAAGAAAAGTACAAGGTAATTCTGAGTTTTAAAAATATACGCCATTAGTATAAATATTTAACAACACAAACAAGTTAATCCATGATCTCAATTTATATGAGTTAGTTTGACTTATATATACCAAGTAGGGGTGTACATGACCAGGTTGGTTCAGATTTTTCAAATATCAAACCAAATCATTTGTGTCGGATTTTTAAATCTATAAACCAAACCAATAAAACTCGGGTTTTTTCGGGTTTTTCGAATTTTCGAGTTTTTTCGGGTTTTTTCCAGAAAAATATTCATACAAACATATAATTCACTTGTACTTCAAATATTTCTTTAGTCCTATCAAAATACAACTATCTAAGGTGTTTCTTAAGAAAATAACACAAAATATTATATGAGTAATGATACTAAAATATCCAACAAAAAATAATAATAATGAAATCGCGTAAAAAAAATATTGCAAATTAACAAGTCATAATGAAAATGATCATAATTTAAAAGTACTAAATCATGCTAAAATAAGTTTAATAAGTATTAGTTACATGACTAAATATTAAAGGAAATTAAAATTAGATTATGTATTTGAATAAACCAATGTAAAACCATAGAACAAATATTCAATATTATTGTCATTCTTAGTGTTGAATTGATTATTTTTTTTCCTTTAGTATTAATTTAATTTTGATTTAAGCTTTATTATAATTACCAATATCTGTGGACTATAATCTTTATTGAACCATTTAGAATTATAAGTTTCAAACTTGAAATAATAATATATTAAAAGATTAAACTATGAAAAAGTATAAGAAATATTTAAAAATTATATCAAAGTAAATATTTTTATGTATAAAATAAAATTTTAAAATTATATATATAATGTCGGGTTGGTTTTTTTTAGTTAAAACCAAACCAACCCAAATATAGCCGGATTTTTTTTCCAATACCAAACAAAGTCAAACCAACCATTAGTCGTGTTTTTTTTCTCGGTTTGCGGTTTGGTTCGGTTTTCGGTTCGGTTTTTTACACCCCTAATACCAAGTTTAATAAAAATAAAAAATAAAAAATTGTGATCTAAAATAAGTCATAGAATTTCGTGTGGCTTACTAATCATATCATTAAGAGTAAAATGAGACATTTTAAAGTAAAATTGTTAGTACTAACTATAGAAATGTGTCTTTCTTTTTGGACATATAAGGTGGAACAGAGGGAGTATCTTATTTGCAAGAGTTTAAATATTCTTATATTTTAAGAAGACTAATTAATTAATTACCTTTCAATATTATTTACATGATCTGATGGTGTAAAAAAAAACAATATATAAAATGAAAACTCTTTAATTTTATATGATTGTGTTTTCCTGGCTACCTAATTAAGATCAAGAAAGACATCTACACATAAAACATGTCCTTAATTAGAACATATGATTTTAAATATTTTATAACATTACTATGGCTATAGGTAAGAACATATCATTAAGAGTATGTTGAAAAGCTTAAAGTTTACTTTTAAATATGGAATGACATGATTCTTTTTAGAACATACTAAAAAGGTGTCAGGGACTAAAATATAATGCACGTACCTCCGCGAAGGAGCATTTGTAGGGGATGGTCCTTTTCTAGGCCAAATTTGAGGAATGGAAGCATCTTTATGAGGAAGATAACCAGATAGAAAGTAACTTGAAGAGCAAACAACTTGGATTGCATTTAACTTAACATGAATAGCTTTCTCCATTGCTGACCTTCCAATAGAATGACAAGCAACATAGAAATGGTCAGCCCCTCCTGACCTATTCCAATAAGGATATTTTTCACTTATCTCAACTATATATTCTTTGACAAAATCTTGGATTCCACCAACCCCTACCCTCTTGTCATTTCTCATATTTGTTATAGAAAATGGAAGATAAAAAAGATCAGCTTCTTTGGGGTCTTTTGTGATGAAATGACTTTTAAAAAGGGATTTCTTGAAATAACTCTCACTTGCATAGTTCCCTGATGGTTCATCATCAATTGCTAATAAAATATTAGCAAAAGGCTCATTCTTCTTGTGCGGATATACATATATCTTTAGGCTTCTATTCATTTCCTTGTATTCTTCATTGAATACATCCTTGTCATGAAAAATCTCTTTCTTCATCTCAACCTTTTTTTCTGAAAGCCAAAAATAATATGTATGATTTAATTTATAGTATATAAATTTAACATTTTCCCATTCTAATGTTTGTATTAATTATTATTATGATGATGAACACCTGCTAACTAAATATACTGGTATCGATCCATTCAACAAGTTTGAGCGCCTAAAGTTAAAATTTATAATTAAAGAGATCCTCATTTTTTTTTTCAAGTATGAAATTTTCTAGCTTTTTTTAATTTTATATTCAAATTCATATTTTTATAATTGACATATTTAAATTTAATAAAATACTAATAACAATTTAACTAAAACAAGAATAAATATACTTATGAAGTAATCATATCAACACAGACAATTTTTTAATGCAAAAATAGATTATAATATTAAAATAATAAAATCTAATAAAAGATTTAGATAAGTTGATATGTCTAATAATATCAAAATAGTATTACATTGTTTCGATATATATAATGATTGATATTTTGTGTTGCTTTAAATTTTGAAGAAAACAGCAAAAAATAAATTTTGATCTTTTTATAAGCAAAAAAACACAATGATTTTACCGGATACTGAAGGTTTGGTTAGATTTCAATATATGTAAAAAAAAAAATAATAATAAGAGAAGAAGAATAGTAAAAGGGAAAATGAAAAAGATAAATAAAAATATGTGTCCATACTCCATACTATTTACTAGTATTAGGATATGAATATGCAAACAAAAAAAAAAAGATAACCACATTTTAAAAAAATAGAATAATTACTTAAAAACTATTTAATTTTTCATTTGTTACAGTGTTTCCACATTAAAACATAAAAAGTTATTTTACGGACTCCTCAAAAGTTTCATTCAAATTTAATAGTACGTAAGATTATTATTTTTTAAAAGGAAAAAAAACTATATTCGGCCCAATTTATATCAGCTAGTTTGACTTAACACAAAGTCTAATAAAAAAATAAACTGATATTTATGGCCTAAAAAAAGACAGATATTTGTGTGACTAAAAAATATTTCATTAAAAATAAAATAGGCATTTTAAAGTTAAATTACTACTCAATATAGAAATGTGTCATTTTTTTTCCCAACTGAAAAAGAAAATATAAAATGGAGTGAGGAATATCATATCTATACAAAACACATCTTTAGAAAATCGTAGAACCCAAATCGTTGATTTAATAACTTTATAATAGAGCCGGCCCTCAGTAGTATACCGTTACACATCATAATATATAGTTGCTTTAGTAAAAAAATTGTCTAGAATTTCTTTTTGATCGGGACATGCTATATTTTTAGTTTTGGGGAGATCTTTAGGACCACTTTTCTAACCAACTGGGCATAACAATAATGATTTCCATTTTAATACTACTTCACAATGGAGTGATATTTTTAAAATTGTGTAAGAAAAAAGTATTGAAATAAATATATTAAATATGCTAAGATAACGATAACACAAATTCTCATCTTATTACTCACTTGCCCGACACTGAGTAAATACTCAAAATTCTTACAATTTCAGCTTGAATTGATTTACGAAAGTCCATTCTTATTGTTAATACTTTCTGAAAGTCAAAATTTTTGCTTTAATGGATTGAAATACTCCTTTTCTATTTTCAAACTAAAAAAAATATAATATACGTCAAATTGATGTGTACAACTTCTGAAAGGGAATCTGATTAATTTGTTAAAAGAATAATTTTCTAAAATGGTGAACTAATATGTTAATGAAGGATGATGGAGAATATTCTAGGTAGCCGCCCATCCGGTAATACTCAACAGCTAATGCTGATGTTGAAAGAAAAAGTAGGAGTATGAAAATGACATAATTTATGGGCTCTCGTCCCATTTTATATGAGTTAGTTTGATTTGATATAAAGTTTAAGGAAAAAAAATAATAAATAATAGATATTTGTGTGATTATAAATCATTTAATAAATGATAAATAAGCATTTTAAAGTTAAATTGTATGATTAACATAAAAATATATCATACTTTTTAGACTAATTAAAAAAAGTAAGTCATATAAATTAAACTGAGACAAAGAGAGTATTAATTATTAAATAAAAGGAACGAAATAACAGATAAGATGAAGTACGGCCTGCTGGCTGCTCACCCCCTTAACCCTCCCCCAACTTCAAAAATATCACGTTTTACGTTTTCATTCTTCTCTAACAAATTAAGGAAATTAACAATATGTTATTTCTAATAATAGAAATTTATCACAATTACATAATAAAATAACATATCAATACATATCACTTTCACTGACGTTTCCAGTTTAGACTTTACTTGAGATGGTTTATAAGTAATGCTACATAATAAGAAAAGAAAATAGATAACAAAGAGAAACAACAAATTGATACCTCTGTCAAAATTTAATACATAAAACTTGAGTTTAGTAATCAAAAATTATATTATTATATTGTAGAGTTCAATTCTCATGTATATATATATTTGACGAAATGGAGAGAAAGTGTAATAGAGATGAGCCAAATTCTCTAAAATATGTACTTGGCTCCTTTTCATTTTTTCAAGTAAATTGCACAAGTTAAAATTAATGGTTAAGATAATTAACTAAAGTGAAATTCTAACTACGATTTGGATGATAAATATTTTATATAAATTTAAAAAATCCCACAATATAGCTGTAGAATTATAAATCCATTAATATATTTTAAAAAGTTTTCTTTCTTCCGGTCTTTTCTTTTTTTCGTACGTTGTTCTTCATTTCTGAGTCAGTCTCAACTTCTCTTAGGGTTAATCTTTTGATTTTATTTTAATGATCATTAGGCACTTTTTCTTTCAAATTAGATATAAGTAGGAACGATGATACTTCAATATTTTTAAATTATTTTCAATTATGTTAATTGATTATTTTTATAACATTTTCTATATAATGCTCAATTGTGTTATTATAATAATCTGTTAAACTTATAGATTCATATTAGCGGGAAAAAAATGTCGTCATAATTTTAGTATTGGCAATTCTTTTTAACAACAAATGTTGTTTTGGACGAAGAGATGAACAGAGTTCATAAATTTGGCGAATAAAGTTTATAAAATGGTAAAAGCATATCTAATTCTTGATCAGAATTTTACTTTAATTAATTATTTTAATCATTAATATAACTTATGTCATGTGTCTCTCACAAAATGGAAAGGAGGAGAGCAGGGAGTCTTAACTCCTAGGTCACTAAAGTCATCGCTTGGATCCCATATTTTTTAAAAATTACTTATAAATATTATTATTTTTTAAAAAATAAAATTATATTTACTATGAATGCTATGATTTCTACCAAGAAAATTGTATATGAGATGAATATAGAACCTGAATTTTGTAAAAACAATTTGAAGAAAATATTAATAACGAAATTACAAAGTCCCTTGAAATTAGAGTTGATTACTTTATAAATTAAACATCAAAATAATTAATGAAGTAAAAGTAAACATGAAATTATTAATGAATTTTCTGACCTCTTGAAGAGCCGAGTTGAAGGTTTGGCTTAGGTAAATGATGGTGATCATGGGCGTTAGTAATTGGAAATGGTTCTGGCAAAGGCAAAGTAGTGCTAGTATTTGCTAATAAAAGATGAGTATCTTCATCTTGTTTAGGCTTATTATGATGATCAACAACAAAATCTCTTAGTTTTGGTGATGAATCTAAATTGTGAATCCATGTTTGTTGAGGATGTAGGAGAATTAATCTTGAAGTAGAAAATATGTAGAATACTATCAAAGTTGAAGCTATCAAAGCTACAAGACTTGGTTTTATTAATATTGAACCTTTGCGATTCAATGGAGACATCCCCTCTCTGGTTGATGAAGTAGAAGAAGGTTTATACTTTATATATATAGCGTAGAAAATTAAGAAAATGGAAGACTTATATAATTTAATTTCTCTTAAACCAAAACATATATTTTGAGTTTCATTTTTCGGTCAATTTTACTATTCTTGTCTTATAAATTGTATGTAATGTAATATGAGCCCAATAAGTTTTATATTTCTCCTCTCAACACCCTTTCTTTCTTAAATTTTCGTCAATATCTTCTAGTGTACATAATGCCACCAAATGAAATGTCATGTTTAATTAATTGGAAATGTCAACTTGATCTTTTCCTACCTTAATTTTTTATCATTAATATTTGCATCTACTATATATATTTTATTTTTGCTTCTTAATATATACCGTTAGGTTACAGTATTGACCTAATCCCATTAAATATAATCAATTATTTATACTAATATAAATTCTTAGAATATGTACGAGACCTATTTTAACATGATATCAGAGTAGGGTCCATCTCACCTAATGTTGGAGACTAAATAAATTAAAAATTGTCCATGCACCAGATGCAAAACACTGGGCGTGAGGTGGGTCGAAAATTACCTAACATTGAGCACGCACCAGATGGCAAGCACTGGACATGAGGTGGGATGTTAAAGCAAAAAGTCTCACATTGGTGGTTAATGAGATGGATGGACTCCTTAAAAGGCTTGGGCAATCCTTCTCCCTTTGGGATAACTTTTGGGGTGTAAGTTAGGCTTGAGACCTTATTTAACAAAAAACTAAATAAAAATATTAGACTCAACTGCCAAGATGCAAAATATGAGTTCTAATTTGAAAAGTAAAAAATAAATAGTAGATAATAAGTTCAACTTTGGATGGCAGAATTATTTCCAAGGATTCTTTTTTTCAAGCTTGAATGTTTATAGAAAAATTTCATTTCTACTAGTGATGTAATCAAAGACTAATACTACACAAGATGCGTGTACAATTTTTTTAATCAAATATATATACATCCTAAAAGTCCAACTTAATATTTAATATTGAATCTCTTAAATATACTTTCTAATATATATAAATCACGAGTAAAACATAAGACACAATACTTAAACGTCCAAGATGTCCAACAATAAAATATAAACGAAATCACAATGAAAGGAAACAATTAAAAAGAGACAAAAATGGTTAACTCCAACTTAATTCTAAGTAAATTCTTAATCCAAAATCAAAACAAAAAAATAATCCAAAAATTAGAATTAGTTCGATTTGATTTGATTTTTCAATTTGTTATGAATAGTGCATACCCCTAATGTCAGCTACCATCACTACTGACAAAATATCTACCAAACAAATGTCAGAATTTAGAAGTTACTATGTATTGAAGAAGTTGATTGTTATCATGATGCTAGTACGATTGTGACACTAGATAAGTATCACACACCAAACTAGGGAGGCGCGATCGACACTCGATGCCTCACTTGATCGAAAAAACCGACTGAAAGACAAAGAACGGGAAACAATGAGGGCCGACAAGGTCATCATAATAACTTGCTGAAACAAGATAACTAGACTGACGAGCTCACAATAATATTAAGTACATAATGAAAAGACCGACAAGGCCAACTTAACTAATACAGAACTAGGAAGCCGACAAGGATGCAACTGAAACTATACATATAATAAGTTGAAAGGAATACAAATGAAAAGTTGAAGAGACTTAATAGATTATATCCACAAGTCTCTACGAATACTATAGTTGAGACAAGTGTCACGACCTAATTCTACACCCTAGCTGAAGTACGGTACTTGAAACCACAAGTGATCCCAAGCTAACCCTTGACATAACATATCTAAGCATATCATATGAACACTGAAGCGCAAGTTATAAACAAAAATCATAATTGAAATAGATTTTAGAAATAAATCTATTACAATTGAATACTAATGTCTGAAAGCCTCGAAATTGAATAAAATGATTTTCCGGGACAAACCCTCAGACTGCATGAAAACTAACACAACTTCAGTGAATAAAATTTAGTAACTCGTAACTGAAGTCCTTTAAATGCAAGGACTCACCACAATACTGAAAGTAGAGGAACTCAGTGGAACGTCATCCCGCGAATCTGAATCAGGCACAAAGTAGTGTCAATATATAGAATGTATTGGTATGCAAGGTAAGACTGAGATCAACAATTGTATAAGCAATTGAAAGAACTACAAATATGAACATGAGTCATATGCAAACAATAACTGAAGAACTAGGAGTTAAAACTGTGACATATGACATAATATTACAGAAAACAAAAATGTATACATGAGACCATATTTCCTAAAATCATATCTAAAAGGATGCATATCTGAAAATGAAAATGTTATAATGATAATATCAAGAAGACATAAAATAAATTAAATAATTTTTTAGGTGAGAGTTTCTCTTAATCGACATATACCATGTGAGCTCACATGCACCAACTTACAATCCTAGTTGGCGAGGGCTAACATATAACTTGTCGGAATATAGAACATGTCTGTCTAATGTGGATCCACTAATCTGAGCCTCTTTTGGCTAATAGTCAATCAACAAAGAGATGAAACATAATTCTATGGTGGCACGTTGTTCTAGAACTTGGGCTATCTAGAACCCTCGCTCATTCGGTGCTAAATACTATTCCCAAAACAACTATCCATATACCTCATTGAAATATCTATTAAGCTTACCTAGAAACTTGTCATGAGTCTTGCTCAAAATCTCTTTCTAAAACATATCTTGTTGTGAGACTATGCTGAAATCTGTTAGACAGAACTTAAATCTTTCTTTCTAAAATCATATGTTGAAATATCTTTCTAAAACGTATATTTGAAATCATGAGAAAGTTTTCTAGAATATGTATAACTTGTAGAATCTCAAAATAACTTTCATAATAACTTAAAGGTTCTAAAAAAATGCTTTGAAATATAAGCTTAAGGAACCATAAGAAGAATCATGTCAAGAACTAATAAGGATGCCCATGGAAAACTTTGCTAAACATAAAAAGGAAAACAATAACCAAAATCCATAATCATGAGTAAATAAGTTCAAGAAATCATGAAATTCGATCATAAAAGTGGAGAATTTGAAAGTGGGCTTATAAATCCTAACTGTAGGATTGAATTCATGAAAATTGAGGAATTTTAGACACAAGGATGAAAGAAATTCCTCATTAGAGTCTTACAGACCTTAATTTCTCCAAAGACCAAGAACAAAATTATCTTGGAAGAAGAAGAACCAAAAAAACCCTTCTTGGACCTTGGAGATGAGTTCTTGAGAAGTTTCTCTTATAAATCTAAGAATTTCATGAGTAGGAGATATTAATTCTTACTCACATGAATAAAACTGTAAAGTTCTATGGTCAAATCTTACCTTGGATGGTGGATGAAACTTGGAGAAAATTAGTTTCTTAAAAAATTCTCTTTCTAGGGTATGTTTATGAACTAGGGAGGTGAACCACAACTTTGGGGTCTTTTATTAGGGTTCTGGCGTGCCCTATCGTGTGAATAACTTCTTGGGTGCGCAACCAGAGCGCGTCAAGGCAGTATCATTTGCCTCAACGCACTAACGCGCAGTCAACGCCCAGCCCGTGCACCGCAAGATATTGTCTAGTAAAATGGGCATTACTTTGCTTACAAATATCGGATTGACAAACAGTTTGGTGTGTTAGAAACAAGACTCAAATATCTTATATTTGATAGTTCACGGGTCACCTAATTCTTCACATGTTGATAGATATGGTCGTTTTAAGTTGGCAATGGCATGAACTCTTGCAAGGAATTTAGCCAGTAGAAAAGTTTTAAACTTAGTTTGGTGTATGAAGTATATTACGACTCTTAAACACATTTGATACACTTACCACACTTATTAAAGCACCTTAAAAACATATGTATAACTTAAAAATCATCTGGTTCAGACCTATACACATACATAGGATGGTTCAAACATTTACTTAGAAGTCGTGAGGCATTACAACTCAAGGAAGAATACAACTTACCAATCATCAAGTGAGACAACACCCCTATTGCATATGCCTTTTAGTACCTTTATTTGAACTTGCAACACGAATGTAGAGTCCCCAAGTAATGAAACATCAGTATGAATAAAAATGTATTGATATGTAAGGCAGAAAATAGAATTATAAATAGTTGCGATAAAAGGATAATAGATGTACCACCTGAAACTGAAACTTTGATAGGCTCATTGGTTAATATATGACCTCATAGTAAATAAATATGCATAGTGTAATGAGCCTTTTGGTCATTATGGATAAACCAACTGTTAAAGAATTTGGGTAAGAAAACTTCTGGGGCAGTGAGTTGAAAATTTTAGGCTAGACTAGTCTTAGACGAAATCTGAGCAAGGTAAGGCTTAAGGTATTCTGAGGGAGGACAGGATAAAATGTCTAAACTTGGGTTGGTTTGTATATTATCTAAGATGTTAAGGATTCAATAGGGATTTTGAGAAGTGAATTTGGGTAAGTAGAAATCACGATATCAAACATAGCATGAAGGGGTTAACTTAGAATGATAAGATTACAAGGTATGTTGTGAAATAGGAACTTTTAGGTAGATATGTGAGTTTTTATCCCATGCAAGCCGCTACAACAGGTGACACGTTGTAATAGCGGGGAGGGGTGATTTATTCACACTATTGTGGGTAATCCTGTTACGTCGGTGCTACTATAGTGGGGTTAGTCATTGAAAATGCAAAAAATACCCCAATATCCGCCCATTATTGCCCAAGAAGATTTTGGGAAGATAAAGCGACCTAGGCCATTTTTCTCCAATTTCACATCATTTTTATCCATAAATGTAAGTAATTCACTTCCCTACCTAGTTATTTAATTCTTAGGCCTTACAACCCTTGATAAGTGACTTTAAGGGATGGTTTAACTTGAGTTAATGGTGGAAAACCCCTAGTTTAGGTGGAATAATAATGAAACTTTTCTAGGGTTAGGATTAATTCATAATCGGGGTATAATTAGGCCAT